TATCACGAAGGTCGACCCACAGTCAATGAGAGAAAGTGTATTATAATTAGGCTATATATATATATATATATATATATATATATTGTAATAGAACAAAAACATTGTTTTTGGACTTGAACGAGATTTTTCTCAATGGGGTAATGCATGCTCGAAGTAGTTATTGTACGTGCTACCACCAATCCAGAAAAAAGTGGTGACTACGACCCAAGATAATGGTGGTGCCTTTCATTCTCTCGTGAATATTATGAAACTTGGCCTTTGTTTCTATTTAAAGAAAAAAATGACAGGAAAGTCTTATAGCTTAATTCTCGTGAATCTATTGGCTTTTGTTTTTTGTCTCTGGTTAGTTATCATCTTTTATAATTGCATTTTTTTTCTAGTTGTAATTTTCAATATTCATGGAAATAAATCGAATAAAGGAGAGAATATGTATTTCAGCTCCTCGTGTTTCTAGTATGCTATAGCCTTCATTCCATCTTATACTACGGGAAATTGTTACTGATTTGATTTCAACCATTTTCCTACAGCAATGATGGAGCAATCATGCAGGCGTGTATCTTTAATCTTTAACGTATATAAAAGTGTCAAAGAGTTTTTCTCTCCTTTTGACCTGCGGCATTTATAAGGAGACTTCTCATTTTTTTCACACATAAACATCCCATTTTTATTTTGCTTTCTTTTTCTTTTTCTTTGATCTTTAACATACATAAAAGAGCCAAAATGTTCTTCTCTCCTTTTTACACGTGGCATTATAAGAAGAGTTATCTATCTTTTTGACATACTAGTCAAGCGCGTGCGCTGCGTATGAGTTTAATCTCACGTCAAAACGCATAGCCTTCTTAGAAACTAAATTGACGGAGCAAGAGAAAAAATATATATATTTTTAAAAATCACATCGAAAAAAAAATAAAATTATATTAAAATTTCAACAATAACAACAAAAAAACTTAAATAAGGAGATATTTGAAAGAATTATTTTAATTAAAAGAAAGTGAGAAAAAGAAAGTATTTCAAAAAAAGATATTGAAAAAAAAAAACTATAAAAGAATATTAGAAGAAAAAAAAAAGACAATAAGTAAAAAAAAGAAAGAAATTTAAAATAGAAAAGGAGGAAATGATAAAAATAAACTATGTAGGAGTTTTAAGCCAAAAATAAATCAAGAAACTAAAAATGAAAAGAATCAGAAAAATAAAAAACAAAAACAAAACATTAAAGAACAGTAACATTAAGGAGTAAATGACAGCTTGACACATGGCTAAAGAAGAAATAATCATTTTGACTCTTTTTGTATGTTTAGATTTAGATGAGCATCACATTTTTATTTTGTTTTCTTTTTAAAAAAAAAAATCATGATTTCTTTTATCTTTTTTTTCCCCTATTTTTTCCTAAGTTCTTCTACAATTTAATTTTGTTTACAATGTGTTACCTTCAAATACTTAATTTCTCACTTTGTACTTACTAAAATAACTTATTTTGAAAATATTCCTATTTTTCCTTTTTGTTAAAGGTTGTTCTACAATTTAATCCCTTTTTATGTGTTTCTCAAAATACTTTTTCTTATCACCATATTTACATATATTTTTTTTCTTAATTGTACTCTCAACTACGGTTTATCTTATAAATAAAATTATTATAATTTATCTCCATTTAAATAGTCTCCCTCACACATGAGTCTACTCAATATTCTGTTTTAAAATATGGCCCTTATAAATTATATTTTTTTTCTAATTACTTTATGGATAATATACCTTCTCAAATGTGTCTCTAGCTGAATATATATATTTCCCTTATAACCCTCTTAAATACTATTTTTTCATGTGTACTTATAAATAATTTATTTTATAGTTTGCTCGACTAAATACTCTGCTTAAATTCTTTTATTTTTTTTTTATATTTTACCAAACTAAACTCTTAAAGGAATACTAAGTCAATAAAGAAATTTAAAGAAATTTTTAAATCTTTATATCCAAATATATATATATATATAACACCCCTATAGAATTTGTCACGACCTGCCACCAAGCAGCTATTATGTTAGACCTGCGATGGATCGTGACGGGAAAACATGACGTACACACATACATATCGATCATATCATATTTGTAGATTTTTTTTCAAAAAACATGTATATATATATATATAACGTAGTCATAATAATGTGAAAATATTTAAACTTTTAATAGCTTATAAATCCTTAATTAAAACACAAAAATTCTAAAAGAAAGGTGTTTCAAATAGGTTTTTAATTAAAAACATAATATTGTGGAAATCATATTGAAGCCATAAGGCCAACTCTCAAAAACCAATATCAAAGTTTGTCCACAATATGTCTTATCCCATATGCACATTCACTTCAATCCGCTTCCCTAATCACTGAGCTTCTACCTTAACATTTTTCTTTCTCTTTTCCTGTAACACAAGGAATCCTGGTGAGCTAGAAAGCTCAATAAGCGAGTAAACTAACTACTTTAAATATGGATGAAATGCAACACAATAATTCCTTAGCAGAATAGAGATATGAACGAAAATATAGACATAAGTTCGAATACCTAATTCAAGTCCTCATGATTTTTTTTCCTCAACATACATAATCCTATAATTCATAATTTTTATCGACCGATAAGTAATCATAATATGACATACTTCGTACTAACTCCTAACATGTTTCATAAAAAAGTGTATTATACTCCAATATCCATAAACTCGTCATATTAAATATTCATATTATCAATTGAATATTATTTTGACTTTCATAACTCATATTTAAATGTATAAGAATCATAATCTTAACATACCATAATCATAATTATATGTCATTGTAAATCATAATCTTAACATACTACAATCATAATCATACCATATCACAAAGCTTAATCAATTTCTTACCGTAACCGAAGCCTTACCAAGCAGTCATGTACTCCTATAAGCATAACGTGCATATGATTTAAACAATAATAACACGTTGATAGTAGCTAAAAGCTAAAACACATAACTACCCCTAATAATCTAGTGTACTCATTTTTGCTTTCTTATTAGTGGTTCACAACAACCAAGAAAATATTAGAAAACAACACAATCATAATATTAATCACATGTTCCCATTTAACGTGATCATAATTAAATCTAACTAAGAAACATACATACGAAATCAGCATAGTCTTATCATGTTATAGTCTTACCATGTTGTATCATACTATCATATTCATACATAACCTCATAGCATATACTATCATGTACTAATCATTCTATAATAACTCATAACACAATATTATTATATCTTAATAATGTGTCTTACTTATCATATACTCAATGGAGTAGTATCATAACGTGCACATATTAACGGGCTCGTGGTATATGCATAGCTCGCGTAACTCAAGTAGTAAGTCAATAGATGATGTTCTATAACCATAAAATCACGGTGGACATTGTGCCACCAAATTAATGAACAACTGAACCTATAAATTAATCACAGAAACAATTGAAAATTTTAAATAAAAAATAAAATCTAGCTAGCTGTACTATTTTGTCTGTGGCATCCCAACACTATATTACGTACGGAATATATCAGCAAAAAAAAATATTACGTACGGAATATTCCACCTTTGGGTCAGCAAATTATTAGATCCGTCCATATCAGCCACATAGTTTCCTGATATTTCAAATGTTCGTGACATGTTCATAGAATTTTACTGAATTATCTACGGTATTAGTACTCAGTGATAAATAATTTCTTATTCATCATTAACAACTAATCTGTACATTTTTGCTTATCAAGTTGACATAAAAATCGTAAAAAGTGAGTTTTTCAATTTTAAAACAAGACGTTATTTTCATGAATCAAGACGAATATTATCAATTTAGATTTAAGCTATGTTTATTTCACTAATTTGAATTTAAAATTTGAATTTTACTTTTAAAAAATAATCACATTTAACTTTTTTATAAAAAATTCTCATATAAAATCACATCTCAACTTAAATCAGCGAACTAAACGGATTCAATTAAAATGCCAAAATCAACATAACAACACATCCATTATGAAAAATAAAACGGTCAAATCCTTTTTGCAATAAAAAAAATTTAAAGTCGTCATGCATCACAATAAAATAAAATCAAACTCTAAAAAAAAAAAAAAGAATTTTAAATCTTTTAAAACGTCCTCTATCTCTATTGAAAGTTCTTCTACCTGATACAATAATATTTCTAGGCTGTGCAAGTTGGGTCCGGCCTTAAATCGCCAGATTTTTCAGGCTTTACGTTTTAACAATTTGAAAAAATTTCAGACCAGTTTGTTTTTGCAATAGGATTGAATCAAACCAAACCATTTTTGTATGGTCTGATGTAGTCCTAGCCGCAGTTTTGTAAAGATAAATGTGTATCGACTTTATCCTTACCTTATTATTATTATTTTTAAAGGAAGGGATATCATATTTAAATTTACCATTTTTATACAGAAAATTAAGCCTAATTTACCCATAAAAATAGTACGGGTAAATATCTGAACTTCATAAGTGGCACTAGACTTAAGTTTTATATTATTTATTTATTTTTTAAAATAGAAAGATTTCCAAGTCATTTTAATTTTGCATTTTATAAATAATTGATGAAGATCCCAATTAAATTATTAAAAGAAAACATGTTTGGGAATTGGGATAGCTAAGCAGAAACACATTATACAAAGACAAACAAACAAAAATAGCAAAAATCGCAAAACTTTGCATGGCCACAATGCTCTGACTGACTCTCTGCGCCGCTGATACTGAGAACATCCCAATATCTAAGTCATCCTCAAAACACTCCCAAATATTTATTTATATTACAAATAAATATATAGTGGATGATAATATATAGATATCCTGATCCTATATGTGTATACATATATATATATATATATATATATTTATATATATATCATATTCAAGAATCATGAAATAAGAGAAAGTATATATATGTATTATCTGATTCTGGGGTGCGAGATTTTTCTGCATCTTTCGTGGCCACAGCCAGAAAGTCGCCCCCAAAATATCGGTTTCCTAACTTGCTCTTCCCTCCATTTGGCCTCTCTCCACCGCTTTTATCAGCGCTTCATTTCCATAAAACCAACAACTTTGAAGATAAATACCAAATAAAAATAAGTAAATCTTAGAAATTCACTGTTACACATTCCATTCTCGTTTAGGAAAGAAGACAAAGATCTGCATTCTGCTCTTTGATATTTGGTTAGGCTCCTGAAATGGGTTTTCCTTTTGCCTCTTTATTTTTCAATATATATATAGATATATATATATATATACATATAATTTTTTTTTATGTTTTTGGCTTTATTTTATTTTATTTTTTGTTGTGGTTCTGGGTTCGTTCGAGTTTGCGCCATTTATGTTTCTGTAATGAATTAGATTTTCTTTTTGGGGGCTCACTTTCTATTTGAAATACATTTCTGGTTATTGTTTGAATGTCATGATTACTTGTTGGTACCATTTTGGTTCTTGTTTTGCTCATCTGAAATCTATAGAGTATAGACTGTAGAATAAGGACCCCAGTTATACACTTTCATGTTTATTGACCCCAGTTATACATTTTTATGTTTATTTATTTTTTGAACGTAGCGTCAGATTCGTACTCTACATCTTATGGTTGAGAGTCAAGTATGAAATTACTGCGTCCAACTACGCCCAGTTATATATGTTAATGCTCTAGCTTGTTTTCTTTATTTATTTTTAAACGTGAGGATAAGGATTTGAACTTTACACCTTGAGATGTAGTCAGGCGTGGATTTTCTGTTAGACTATGCCTGCAACCACACTCTAGCGTGTATTAAAGGTTACTTCTAGGTTATACCTTTGCAATTTTGTGAACTTGCTGATCTCATTTTATCACCTTCCAAGACTCTCATTTAATCAAAAGGAATTACCAAGAAATGCCGTTTTATAAACATATACCATTTTCTTCTCTGCTTGTTGGGCAAAAAATTTTCTATTGAGTACAGTTGATAAATATCAATATTTGAACTTTAAGCAATCTATCAGTGTGACTACACTGTTGATGCACAATAACATATATATGTATATATATATTTTTTTTGTATACTATTTGCTTGAGTTTTTGGAATGGTAATTGCTACTTTGTTTCCTTTAATGTATACACTAAAAGAGCTAATTAACCTCTGAATAAGTACATGCTATTTCATAGGAGTGACACATGAAAAATCTTGGGAAGCTGCAGGCTGTTCTGCAGGACAATCATATGCTAGGGAACAAGTATAACTGCAATCCTTCGACACCCAGAACCCGGTTGGAAAGGCTTCTTAGGGAAAG